CGGAAACGATGTGCTCAGTGACCGCCGTCTCGGTCGGTGTCGCATGCGGTGGCCGCCGATGGATATAAATCATTTGCCACCGGACAAGCTAATGTTCTATCTAATTTGGCAACGACCTAAGTAATATAATAATATTATTATACTACGAACGTAATTTGTGGTAAAAATAAAATAACAGTATTCACATAATAATATAATCGTATTCCTTTTATAACCTTATCTTATTAGATATTATTATTATTATTATTATATTATTACCACCGAAGAGGTCGTAATTCATTGGCGATGACTGTAAAACGAAAACAAAAAACAAATTTCACTTACCTCTCATGTATATGTATATATATATATATATATACATATTTTCATGTACATCGATAAGTAGACACCACTGACGCCGCGCCGTATACATTATATATATATATATACATATATGTGTGTGTGTGTGTGTGTGTGTGTTACAGCGGTGGTGTGGCCATTAAATAATCGTTAAGATGGGAAAACTATCGGCGGAACGAACATATCCTGTTAACGAAAAACCCATATAATGCGCGTACGAGTACCTATATATAGTATTATAGAAGATATACCACGTATATTCGTGTACAAAAATACATTATAATACGTGTACGAGCGAAGCGAGCAAGACGAAGAGAAGTGAGAGAGATTGGTTCGGTTGACTTTATTACGGTCGAGAAGGGTTGAAATATCGTGTAAACACGATCCGTCGCCGCCAGGGTAGGCCATTAAATCGTCAAGAAATCTGGGGTTCACGCGATATATTACACAATAATCACGTCAAGCGACGAGACTGATAGTACGAAAAACAAAAACAACAACCGTTGTCATACCTAGCTCTCCTATACCTGTACAATAAACCTACTTCGGCTATAATTATACACGTTAAAAATACTTTCGAAATGTGTTTATTTTTAATTTTACTATCTGTAAGCATGCGCGATAACCAAATTTGATGAACAATGGTAGTAAGTAGAACGTGATGGAGCGAGAGAAGGGAGCGTCCAGTGAGTATGTAGTAACACGCTGTGTGTCAACGATCTGAACTCCGTGAATTTTCAGAAAACAAACCTTTTTATCAAAGCTTTTTTATTATTGAAATGTCCTATGAATATTAATTATTTAAATATATTATTTTCTGATGTGATAATATTATAATTATCATTAAGTGAAGACAATAAGTCAGTAGAAAATTTCATGGATTTTAGCATACAATATTATACGCGTATCGTGCTTTTTTTTTTTTCTGATGTTTTATGTTTTTAAATTAAAAATAACAAAACAATTGTGTAGATATTTCAAATATAAAGCACAAACGAATGACTGCATGCGTATATCGCTTAGTAATATAATAAAAATATTAGGTAGTGCGCTTTGGGTTTGAATGTAGAGCTCTTCGCAGTATTCGATTCTAAAAAAAAATAATAAACAATAACGATTAGAGGCTTACAAACTCCAACTAAATTGATAAATACATAGCTTTTAAAAAAAAAATTAATTTGGTTGATTAACAACGTGGTTAGAGACCACGATTGTGCTATTATTATTGTGGTTTCTATATAGGTTTTTGTACGATTGTCTACGTTTAAAAACCAACGACCGCAGCACACAATACGCGTACTATATAATTCAATTAGTTTCTAGCTTTGCGGATTTCACGAAAATTTGTAGCAGCTTGCTGAGCCTTTCTTGTCCTAAGTACGCTATTGTAAATACTGTAACACAATATATCGCCGGTTTATTTTGTAGTTTTTCAGAGGTGTTTTCGTGCGAATTATTAACCGTCTGCAAATGGTAAAATAACGATTAACGCCTGATTTATAGCGAATTAAGAACAAATCGACAATTTAACGACCGGGAAAATTGCCCAACACCCGCTATTACCAGACAAATCCGAAAGTAATGATAACAATATAACTCAAAAAGGTATGACACGAAACAAACCTGCAACTATACTATTGGAATAGCAGCTACTCGGGAATATATCACACATTTCTGTTACATATATCAATACCTATGAGTCTCCTGTCGCAGTCGTAACAGTTCACGTTACTCTCATCTATCACCTTTCACACTGAACGCTCACTTTTTGTCGTAACTCGTGTATTGCAGATATCCATTTAGTTTACGCTCATATCATAGGCAGTTACGATACATTTCTTAAATATACAGTATAATATGCATTTCGCAATACTGCAGATCTGCAGATATTTCCCTTCAGTGAGTCGGTAAATTCACCTATGTGCTTGTTGCAATTATTATGTATTTCTTATGCAAATTAAACGCGACGTGCATATTATTTACCTGTAATATTATAAACAATAATAAACGTATAATTTATCGTTTTATGCTTTAAACACGCCCATAGTCGTTTTTGTCTGCTTTAGCGATTTCGATTAGTTTCGTTTAACACGAAATATTATACCATTATCACAGTCGTTAACGAATATTACGCATCAGGCCCGCCGTTCAAACTCGACTTCGTTGAATGACTTATTGCGACCTCCGCAGACGCGTTTACCTAATTTTGGTTTTTCGTGTCGTTCTATTACACATACCGTACATATTTTTATACAATATATATATATATTTATTTATATGTATAAACAGAATACAAAACGCGGGCTAAAACGTACGCATGACGATTTATGTCTCCTATTGTAAACAGTCGCGGCGGGTGTGTTGTATGTAAATTGTTTACAAAATATGTTAACCCCTGTTAATCTCCGTATTTTGCCGTCGTCGCACGTAAACCGTTTATTTTGAAATCGTTACAGTTAAGTCGTATAATATGTATTTTCACATACTACGCACAAGGGTAACTATAATATTATTGCTGCGCTTAGATCGAGGCCGGTTTTAACCGTTTTACTTCACTGGTCCATGGCGCACACATGGGTAATTTGAAACGGTGAATGTTTATTATATTATGTGTACCGACCACATGTTCGACGTTTCATTTTGCTTGTATTTTTTTGTAATAAGGCCATAAGGGTGATTGTAAACAAAAAGGATAAGTGATAGGTAATAGTAATAAAATTGCACTAGGTACTATTAATAATAATAAACAACAAGTAAGAACAAAATAAATTTTAATAATATTTGCTAAATAGGTATATCGAGGGCGGATAAGACCCTCGGACAGTATCTTAACAAATTAAAAAAAAAAACAAATAATGATCATAAAAAATTAATTCTAACAAAATAATTTAGACAACTTAAATTCGTATTTTGTACAATTTCTAAACGTAATGCCGTTAATGTTTGTAATCCACTATGTCACTGGCAAAATGTTAAATATTACAGCTATCAATGTATACCTACTATATGTATATAAGTGTATAACATAAATTAAATGATTAAAAGCAAATCGTGGGCGTGGTGAAAAATCAACATTAAAAACGTGACAAAACTAATATATTATAAAGGTAGTTAATTATGATTGATACGTACAAAACATTCAGTTAAATCCGTTTATTATATCACTGGTTTTGGTTTTAATGAGATCAAGCGATTTGTTCGCTTTAAACAAAAATTATTTTGATTTTATGCTCGAAAGCTTATGATCAAGTGGTTAGGATTATTATACTATTATATATTTTCTGTATAAAACAATAATGAAATGTTGTAACGGTTCTATAATATTATAGTTTTACAGTGGTGAAACCAAAAATACAACAATGTTTGGAAGCAATCTTTGGTTTATCTCCTATTACGCGATGAAAAGAAAAAAATGATATAAGTCGTGTGCAACATAACTATAATTAAGTGATTTCTGAGATGTATAGTATAGGTAAATGGATTATTTAGTTAATTACATATTTTTATCATTAAGCTAAAATGATAAATATATAAATATATACATATATATATTTAAAAGAGAGTTTGAAATAAATAATATTAAACGTAAACATTTTTATATGCATCTCTAATTAATTAGGACGAGTTGTGTTTACAAAAACTTTAACAAAATAACAAAAATATTATACATTTTTTATCCCACTATTCTTACAAAATAGTAATAATAATTGTTGTTCATATACATACGAGGAAATGTGTTTCACTATAGACTATATTATATACACATAAAATCATTAAATATATAACTCTAATTATTACAAGTATACTCTATAATTTAATTAAAATTTTAAATTTTAAATTAACATTACTAGTTTATATATATTTTTTTTTTAAATACACTGCCGGTAATCGATAAACCGGCGGGCGGTGGTCACTGGCCAACGAGCGTACGGTGTTTATCGGTTTTCCAGCGAAAATAGAAAAAAAATTGGAACATATTGGTCACGATAAAAGCTTAGTAATCGATTTTATTTATGAAATTCAAGGATAAAAAATTTTTTTCTCGTGACTTCGGGTGGCGTTTTAAGTCCGAAAAAAAACACCGAACAGTCATGTTTCTAAGTTTCTTGTACGGGAAATACCGACCGTGAACACCACACATACGTGTCGTTTAGGTAGGCATTATGATATTATACACTCCGATTATAATATTATTATAATGATAATAATAATATATCAGTGAGATATGTCAGTTTGGTCGATATGGGCGGAGGACACGTAATATAATTTATATATGTACACTATACACAGGTGTCGTCAAGAAATTTAGGCTAAGAATCGCGAAAAAAAAAAACAGTACAATGAAGGGCGAGTGTCGGCGGGAGGGGGGACGCGGGACCCCTCGGGGGATCTCCGGGGAATCGGGTCAATCATTCCGTTAATCAGCCTAGTATTGTGCGCGCAACGCAGCCGGGGGACACGACCGGATCATTAATCACACGACCGCAGACGATTAAAAAAATAATAATAACAGACGAGAGGAAAAAAAAAAAAAGGCGAGAAACGATAGATTTCATTATTGTATAATATATATTATTATCATTATTATTATTATTATTATTATTTATTAATAGTGTACGAGGAGTTTGCGCGGCGCGCGCGCGTGTGGGCTACTACAAACTGCAGCAGTATTATATTATTATTATTATTATTATATTGCAGGTACCATATTATTATTATTATTATTATTATTTGTTGCCGCTGTCCAATGTTTGCTTTATAGAGGAGAACCGTTGATATTACACACGTCGACGGGCGGCGGCGGTACTTACGCGGTTTGACCCGGAATGGCGGCGAGGTCGCGGTCGTTTGTCCGTCACTTATCCGTTCTTTTTGTTTTTCCTTCTATTTTCGAATGGCGCACACGCGTATGTGTACATAATAATAATATGCACGATAGTTGTATGATATATTATTATTATTATTATTATTTTCACTAGCGCACAATAGTCGTTCGTTAAGGTGTCATTGTGCGGCGACCGACGACCGAATTCCTACGGGTCAACTGCAACAGCAGCAAACAGGCGCTTGTTTCCGTGCAGAAATACCACGAAAAAAAAAAAAAATTACATATACTTATTATAATATGTACCTACCAATATACAAATGGAAAAAACTCACAAAAATCCCTCCTAACCCCCTCTTCACCCCGACGTCCATTTCTACCAACCGGCTCGACTGCCACAGCCTATCTCATCGCCAATAATAATAATATTATAATATTTACATGAAATTATTATAATATCATCGCGTGTGTAGTGAGCGCGCGCACCGATCACAAGGCCGGCACCATTTGCCTGCAGACCGGCTGTTGACCGTCGACGACGTACTCGCCTCCGCCGGCCTTTGGACCGGACACCATGCCGCCGCCTCCGCCGCCGCCGCCGTTCAACATCATCAGCTGCTGGTGTTTCTGCTGGTGTTGTTGGTCGACCCCGACTTTGGACGACGGATGGTCCATCAGCTGCTGATGCTGCGCCACCGCCGCCGCCGCGTTCTTGGGCTGATGCCGTTTCTTGTGCAGCGCCAGATGATCGGACCGGGCGAAACACCGTTCGCACACCTCGCACCGGAACGGTTTGTCGCCCGTGTGCTTCCGGTAGTGTCTGGTCAGCTCGTCCGACCGCGCGAAACTCCACTCGCACGCCGACCACGTGCACCGGTACGGTTTTTCGCCTGTAGACAAAAACAAAAACGCCGATTTAATATACGTAATATTACGTCCGAGATGATGGTAGCTGGTGCATAATATCATAATATACGTTTTATGACATTAGACGGGTACGTTATTGCAGTCGCGGTCGGTGTTATTATATTATACGTGAGCAGCGCGCAACGTTACACAAGACGACGTACATAATACACTTGGTTATAAATTCGTATGGATACACATAAACGCAAAGTACTTATAATGTACGGTGAAAACAAAGTGCTTGTATAGGATACCATTACTAGAAACTTAAACAATTACATATTATTATTTATAATAATGGTCTTATTCTTATTTTAGTTTCTGAACGTTGTTTTTAAATTTCTTCGTTATCTATATTATTATCTGTTATCGTCATTTTTTTTATGATGAAAAAATTATTGTGAATCACCTGTCATGCGCGATAGTAGTTATTGATGTTTATTTTGATATTTTGCAATATCATTTATGAATAAAAAATAAATGTATTTTATTTGATGCTTAATATTTTTTTTCTCAATGTCAAACGCATTTCATAATAATTGTTTACTGGCTTAGACGCTTAGTACCTACATATTATTCACATTTTTTTTTCCTAAACGTTTTGGTCGGGGAGAAGAGTATCTAAATGCGTATATCATGATTTGAATATTTTTATGACTCATTTTGGTAGAGATATCTATGACTATGCCTTATGTGCCTATATTATACTCATAAATCGCATTGCGCACACGCATATTCTATGTGTGTGATCTATCCCGGGAGTACTTCAATAATACGGATCGATCGGCACACGACATTCCATACGCTAGATTCATATCAATCATGTAGGTACCAACAACGTTTGTTTGTGTGTGTATGTATGTATTAAATGCTGTTATTTGTATGTATCTATGTATATGATTATTCGCCGAGGTGCGACGAGAAAGCCGCGTCAAACGATATGTAACTGTATAACATATACTGCTCACTCCTATTATATTATACACACATATCTAGTCGACGTTGAGTTGTTAAAAATATTTTCCTACCGAGAATACTGTATATGTATCTGTGTATATATTACATACGGTTCTGCAGCTCAGAATAATAATTTAAAGATATAATATAATGAGCGAAAAGCAAAATATCAGGACAAAGAATAAAATTGTAGCGTCTTGGTTAATAATTAATATACAAGGTTCTAAATAAAGTTGATTATTTATTCATTGCTCTATTTTTCCGTATTTGATACAGTGTTAAGCTGTTAGTGAAAGAAAAATAACATGGAAATGAAAGAAATAACAAAACTACTCGTTACAATAGGTTATGTGAAGGGACAAAGATTAATGTGATTTGCATACGTTAAGCGAAGGGACGCGGTAAAAAACAAAACTAGAGTAGCTATATTGAATGACAACCAGAAAGTTAGGGAAAACCTTATAGCCGACCCTTATGGTGTCCAAAAAAAAAAGAAAAGACGAATGAATCTGAAGTTATTTAAAGTCACATACTGGGGAAAAAAGATTCAAGTCTGTGACAACTAAGACTCTTACCGAGTTATGAAGCCATATTATGATAATATACTCCATGTACTAGGTTTACGACGAACAACAATAAAGGTAATGTATAATTTTTAAACTTTAATTTAATCTATATCGAATCAAGTCTTACTGAATATTGGAAACTCAGATCTCTATAGATATGGCGAATTCAAATGTTTGTCTTTTGTGGACACAAGACTCTAATTTTAGTGTAATTAATTCAATATTTGTATATACGTTGTTACGAGGATTGCCCGATTGTAATATTGGAAAATTGTGTATGAAATCGGTGGTATAAAATATGATGTCGTTAATCAGCTACACCAATACCTTCATTATTATATTAAACTGAAGCATACGTTTGTCCGTGTACTCATTTATATCGCATGCGCCGCGGGACGGAAGACGGAAAAATGACAAATTATACGCTTGTTTTATCGCAACCCACACGATAACACTATAGGCAAGTAATCCGTTTTCGTTTTAATTGGTCTCGATTGACTGCCCGCGATTTCGAGTAGGCCAACGACGACAATGAAGTTCGAAAAGCTAAAGACAAAAAAATTAACACACAGAGCACTACATGTATAATGCGGATGTGGGACGCTTCGCCGGGTAGTACCGCGAGTGCACTACATACATACATTTATATTGTATTATATATTATGATAATGTACACTTTGGTCGCGAATTTTTTCTCTCTGCACGCGCCATTGTCTTAGGACGTGCCGCGGCGGCGGCCCACGTTCCGAGTCCTCCACCGCAGTCGTTTATTATGTGTATATATCATTATTATTATTATTATTATTATGTATAGCGGTCGTCGGCGTGCAAACAATGTAACGATTGTGTTCGCATTCGGAACCGAGTGCGATCGGAGCCCACTCGACAATTTTTTTTTTTTTATACATGACATATGACATGTATATAATATGTATGTAAACGTAGAAGACGACCGAAAGGGATGAGCACGTCCTTGACCCAGCTACACCAACGGACGAGTCGACGAGTGTCCAATATAATAATAATTATGCGTATTATAACGTCATTAGAATAGCACGCGTACTATACGAATATAAGCATTACTCGCGATCCGATTTGCGGGGCGAAACTCATCCTCCCGTTGATCTAATACGTAAATAACAGTGAAAACAAATATCATATATTATTGTTATTTTTTTTTTTTTATGTATCGTTTTTTTATAATTTCCGCGACACGCAGTGAATAAAGGCTGTAATTATATAAAATCGCGTGTGTGATCGTTCGTATCGTCAACCCACAACAAGTGTCGGAAAACGTAAAGAATTTTTAAATAGTATTGTGCAGGCTCTCGGACGTTTGGCATTGAATTATTGACTTCCTCGTAGGTATAATCCATCGAGATAATAATATTATATTACGCATTAACCGCGCAGAACCGCGATAAACGGATCACTCTGCAGCGTACTATAGTGACGACGGCGTGACACAAAAAACGTGCGTGGGCGTTGAAAATAAAATAAAAAACCATCGGATGCTAGAACGCACACCCTCAAACGAATTTTCGAATCGTGCGGATGACGGATACGGCGATGACGCAGGGCGGCGCGTGTTGTCGCGATTCTGCGTGGCATATATAATATAAAATAATAATATACGCTCCGGTTGGCGCCCGCCTTATAACAACGATCTACATTACAATAATAATGGTAATACGTATAATGATATGTATATAGGTATATACCTGCATGCATGTACGAATCGTCGTCGCGCCGACATAATAATAATGTATTATATCGAAATAATAGAATCGATTATACTCTCGTGCATAATATATTATTTACCTATGGGCATTATCATAAACGACGACGGTAAAAAAAAAAAAAAAATTACAATAATAATAATAATAATAATAATTTGTACATCGTAATGACGTGTATAATCGTACTGCCGAGTGGCGTGGACGGAAGCCGACTCACGGCCCGTGAAAAACAAAAACCCATACCGTCGAAATTATAACCGCCGACAGCCCGGGCGCGCGCATGTAGGATAATTCAAAATTTCCAAAAACTACGACGACGACAACAATTGTGACGCCGTCATCGCGACGTCTCCTCGGCGTATTTTTCAGCCGTTTTAGAGGTACCTATTTGTAATTTATTTACAATTGCACATGATATTATAACACAAAAGTCGGTGCCTTCGTGATAATAATATAATGTCGTGCTGTGTGCGTCCATCTCTCGCGCGGTTGCACATAAAACGCATAATATTATAATGGTAATAATAATAATAATAATAATATCATGTGCATCATTGTGCACGTGCATGTATAGCCTTTAACATAGCGTACATTATAATGCCTAATATCCAAACCCCCCCCCCCCAACAAATTGTTGTTGTTATTGTTATTATTACTGTCGTCGACGTCGTTTATGTGTACATTATTTCGGTGCTACCCAACCAGAGTTCCTATTTGTGTATGTGTGTGTGTGAGCTCGCGATCGCGATACGCACTTTACACACACGACAGTTTATTATTATCATTACGCTTCGTATACGGTTTTTATTCATCTGTTTTTTTTCCGTCGTCGTGTTTTTATTTAGTTTTTTTTTTAATTCGTACGGCGGTTGACAATAATTCAACAACGTTTACGCGGTCGCTCGAGTGGAAAATTAGACCATCCGGCAACGATGGTGGCAGCGTATATATATATATATATATATGCTCTAATATACTACACTTACCAGTGTGTGTATATATTACTTATATACATATATATAAGTATATTATACGTGCACAACATGTATTAATATTATTATTGTTGTTATAACAGTGCGCGTGTTCCGGGTGATGCTATCGGAAAATTGGCCGGTCTAGTCCCGGTCCGGGGTTGATGAAAGTTTGACTGTGTTATTATAATATATTATTGTACCGTCATCGGGAGGAGGGGGAAAACTATATGAGCACAATACGCAACACCGTTCTGTGATGGGAGGGTAGAATTCGAAACGTATATTATCCACGATATATGCGTAATATTCTTAATTTATTAAATATTACGTTACGTACGCGACGGCAGATCTCTTGTTTCGATGGACTGTATTATAATAATATTTATTATTATGAGAATATTTGAAAACAAAACAGTTCGTTTAACCGTGATTGTTTTCGGAATACAATCGCAAAAATTGACGTTTTCCAAAAGTTGCCCTGCGTGGTTAACGAGAGTTATTGTATTAACGAGTAAAAGAAAAAAAAAACAAAAAAATGATTCATTCTCCCATCGAAGCGGATGCACCGCCAAATATTTTTTTTTGTAAGTATCTAACATAATGATAATACATAGGCAGGTATACCGGTGTAAGTCTATTATTCAATATTTTCATAAAAACGTGACCGTCACCCACAAAACACTTCGTGAATTTGTTTTTTTTTTTTTTGCAATATTATATGCAATTACACTCATCGTTTTAGCTATTA